GTTCCTATGAGGAATTAAATGGACTGAGCTGAGATGGCCTTTTCAATAAGCCACTTACTTGCCTGAAATGAAAACTTCTCCATGGCACCTGGTTGATTCCTGGACCTTTGCTAGTTGTGTTTGATTTTGCCCAGGAATTCTGTGCCTGGCAACGGGCCTCACCTTCCTATAATCATTAGTGGTGCCCAACTGCTGGGCAGAGGTCCTGTCTGAGGCTTCCTCCCCCATCTCTGGGTCCCATTACGCCGCACCGAGACTCATCCCCAAATGCTGAGAATTCCACTCTGTGATGGAAGCCCTAGTGACATGAGAGCAACATGCAGTGAAGCTGGAAAGCTCTGAATGGAATACTCTCTAATGAAAACCAAGAGTGGTTTCTCTGCCATTTGATCTTATTGCACGTATTCTGCATCCTGCTGTGACATAAACACTCTCATCTGTGAGAGAGCATGCCCCATGTTCAAAGACCATTATTATGTCTCTGTCTTATTTTGTCTCCACGTAAAGCAATTCTAGTGCCTCTATGAATACAATTTGAATGCCTTTCATTTTCTGATACCTCCTCACCAGCACTGTGCCCTGACTCTCCAAAGAAACAAACCATGTAGTCTCCTTTACCTGTATAAAACTTCCCGAGTTTCAGTAATTCAGGCATGGATAATACCAGGCTCCATTCTAAGCATCTTCTTAAGAGCCTTTAAAACGGCAGCTATTTCCTTTTTAAAAATAGAACATGGTACCTATTGTTCAATGAACAGGTGTGGACTTGAGAGATAGAGTCCGCCAGCACATAGTACCTCAGGAGAAGCGCTAAAGAGCTGAGATTTAAAGCATTTATAGTAGGAAAACCAGATGTTGGCCCATTAATTGGAGGTTTGCCTGAATGGCTGCTCTGAGTCCTGAAGGGGGAAAGGGCAAGGCTCGACATGCGGTGGGACTCCTTGCAGGTACACCCCGCCCCCCCGCTCCGGTGCAGCCACCAGGTTTCCATGGGGGGTTAGGGCGCAGGGGTGGCCTGAGTGGGACCGGCCGCACAGTAGAGGCCGGAGGCTTTGGAAGCAGACAGACAGCCTCCTCCTAGCGGCTCGGTCACTTAGTTCCCGTAGTGCTTAGCTGATGTTCTTACTATAGAATCAGCATCAAATCTTTGGAAAAGTCTTTAGAAAGTATGTCGCACACAGAATATAAATGTTGGGGTGTGGGAGTGTGTGTGTGCACAGGTGTGTGTTGACATGCAGATATGTATACAGCAGCCTGAGCTAAATGAGACCACAAGTCTGCCAAGACGACAAGTGCTCCCTCTGTGTCAGTCCTTTTTCACAGAAGATTCTGGAAATAAGAGTACCGCCAAGTAACAGAACTGTTTTGGGAAAATTCAACTTTTGATCCTAAATAGCCTATTCTCATTAATAGCCTATTGTACATTTGTCTGTAAATCTTTCCTCTAAAGCAGGATGTTTTTACATTTGAATTATGTAAGCAATTGACAATATGAAAACATGACTATGGATGGCGGCAAGATGTAGTATAAAGACCATGCACATGGAATCCAAAGGAAAGGCCTGAGGGGGAACCCATCTTGGTCATTATAAGTTAATTCTGATTCTCAGTTTGCCCCTGTGCATGTCGGCAAACTGATAGCTGCTTCATAGTATTATGAGCGGATTTTTCCATTACCCGGCAGGTGCTAGCTCAAGCTCCGGCCTCAGGAGACCCATGGCATTGTTGATTCTCCTCTCACGTCACCTCTGGGGACATGGTGTCCTTGGTTTCTCCTGTGCACATGTGTATGACTCTCAAGGAGGAAGAGGACAAAAATAGAAAATAAGGGAAATGCAAGGGAGACATTGCACTGTCCTCCTTCACTTTTTGGAACGTTGTCCCCCAGAGCAACGACGTTCAGTTCCCTTCTATTTTGAGGATGCCTTTAGCTTGCGCTCCTCTCCCTGGGCGCCATGCAGAAAGCTCCAAGTGACTCTGGAACCCAAGCACGTGGCACAGACCTCTGGAGCCGGAGTGGCTGGGCCAGGCACCGAGTCCTGGCTCTCCCAGGGTCACCTGCTCATTGTGGCCGAGGCACTGGGAGCACCGGGACCCTTCTGAAATAAACCTGGAGAAGCTGGATCCCTGTTCAGTTGATAGAGTGTGGTGGTATTTTCCATTTCCTGTGATGTACCATGTGTCAAGGGTAGCCCATGGTCCCTCAAAAACTATTGGGGCAATGGTCATTCCTTTCTAGCTTCTTATGGGAATTTTTTATCTCTTATAAAGGCAATATTATCTCAAGTGCCGGTGAAATAAGTCTCCTCAAAAATGTAAGGGAGAGGAAAGCTGTTTCCGTTTGTTTGTATCTTTGTTTTTTATCCCCTATGTAGAAAAATGCCAGCAGACACAAAACCTTGATCCATTTCGAAGAAAGATTAAAGAAGCTCAATTTTTCCAAAATGGAGGGAAGAATCAAGCATCTGAGACACACCTGAGGAACTCAGCACATTTTTAAAACCCCTTTCTACTCATTTCTTGAGAGAGCTCTGAAATAACTGATTATTTCCCCTTCTTTGCTAGGTGCCTGGCACCTTGGACCAGCCACTCTCTCACTCAGAAACAGGTTTTCCTGGGCTGGCATGCGCTTAATAACACCGGCCGCACCTGCGTGCTTCTGAGCAAGGGGCCGCCAGGGCTTGCACTATATTAAAACTGCATTTTTGACCTGAGGCTGACAAGTCTGTACTCAAACATCTTGCCAATTGGATAGAAATTGCCCAGTGCCAGTTTATGTTTTTCTACTTCAAATAAGGATAATTGAGGTTTAACTTTTATAACTGGACACATAAAATATTATGATTCCAAGTTATTAATTCATCACTATTACAGGGAATCTTATACATTTCATAAAAGTCCCATGACTGCACACATTCACGTAGCTTTTCTGACTCTATGGAGTGAGGCCTTTTCTAGCGATAGGTCTTGAGTCAGTATGGGAAGGAGAAACATTGTGCAATGGCTTCCTGGCATGCTCAGGATTCTAGAAATCACAGGCTTGTGATGGAGGAATTGATTTTATCTTCTATTTCAGGTAGACTCTCAGAGGGTCCCACTGACCCATGGCTTCTACCCACCCCTGCACATTCTCTCGGCTTAGGAAGGACTAGACTTACTGACTTGGTTCTAATGAACAGAACACGGTAAAGTGGTGGGAGGCCACTTCCAGGACTGGGTTCCACATAGACCAGGCTCTGTCCTGGGTGCCCTCTCCCTTTTCCTGTGGCTCCCTCCCTCTGGGTAAGAGTGCTGTCAGCACGGGCAGCCTCTGCAGAGGCCAAGGGGATGAGCATGCACATGACCTTCTGAACCTGCCCATAGTGCAGGAGTGAGCATGGAAGCAGACCACCCTAGTTGTACCTTGAGATGACTGTGCCCTTCCAGCCAGGCTCACCCAGTCGAGGAGACCTGGAGGCCTACTCTTAGACACTGAGGCATCTCACAACCACTGAATCTTGCTGTAAGTTGTCATACAGCCCTAGGTAACCAACACACTACCACTTATGTATAAGACATTACAAAGTTTATCGAGGACTGAAGAATAATAAGGAGAAGAGGTGCCTCTTTTTTTAATCCTCACCTGAGGATATTTTTCCCATTAATTTTCAGAGAGTGGAAGGCAGGGAGGAAGAAAGCGAGAAACATGGACATGACAGATACACATCCATTGGTTGCCTCCCAGTCGAACCTGCAACCAAGGTATGTGCCCTTGACGGGGATCAAACCTGCGATGTTCTAATCACCGAGCCAAACTGGCCAGGGCAAGAGGTGCCTTTTGAACCTGTCTGATTCCAAGACCCAGGCATCACTGCTATCCCCAGGTGTTGGAGGCATCTGCGACTCTCCCATAGTCTGACCTAATCTTGATTGTTAAGTAACATCCTTTACAATTTAACTTGAATTTCTCTAATTTATTTGGATCACAAAACTCACAGTCTAGCGTGGGAAGGAAGTTATTTAAATTAAATAAAAATGCAATGTTGTACAATATCCTGGATGAACTTTGGCCCAGGGTATGTGGGGAGGAGATCTGAGTCACACTGTGTATCCAGGGGTCTAATCAAAGGGATGCCGGCCTCATAGCATGCCTCAGCCCCAACCCAAGGCAGGGCAGGTCGTCTGACCTCCATAAGTACTCGTCAACTAAGTCAGCATCTCTTGTGGCAAGTCAGAGGTGCCAGTGAGGTAATAGACGGAGAAGGTCGGGAAGTCCCACCGTTTTGCTGAAGAAACGGCAGAGCCAGAGTCATGTTCTCAGACAGGCTCCATGTTGCTATCCTTAGAATCGGTACCATGTCACTGCAGACAGCGAGTGCTCTCAGATGCCAACTATTTAAGGACAATTTTAAGTCTCGTCATAGCCAGATGCCATCTGTAGCAGCACTCCCTTAATAACTTAAAAATGTATATTTAGAAATATTTTTTTTAAAACTCACTAACTTTTACTTGAAATAGAATGAGATGGCTGAAAATGTCGACGGTGGGGGGGCATATAGCAAAGCTACAGAATGAGGTCAGACAGATTCAAGATGAAACTGGTGCTGTCGCTGGTCGCCATGTGAGCTGGGAAGTTGCTTAACCTCCAGCCTCCAGCCTCCAGGACCCTTCGTCTGTAAAGTGAGGGCAATGCCTTACCTGAGCGAGCATGGTGATGATTCTATGGCATAGACCCTGCCTGTGGAGACCAGGAAAGTGCTCTGTGAACTGTCTCCATTCTGCTCCATGGTGCTCGATGGGACTCTCATTCCCGCTTCCCAGCTCAGAGCGCTGAGGGATGGGGAAGTGTAGAGGCTTGCCCAGCTACAGCTGCTGCCCTTGGGGCGGACTGAGAGCCACTGTGAGCACTGAGTCGGCCCCCAGCCCTGGAGCTGGAGTCTGTACGCGTTGGTCAGAACCTCAACACATTTATTGATTTGGCTGAATCAGAATCCGACCTAGAGGTAGTGAGCAGATGATACCTGTGAGGATTTCCGCTGCTCGTCTTGTCGTTTTCTGAATCAGGAGCCTCAGGGTCCCGGCCTCCAGGCTCAGCAGCAGGGCCCCCGAGCCCTCAGACAGCTCTGTGGACAGAAGCAGCCCATCCTTGTTCCACGTTCGAAACTGGAAACCCACTGAGACCCCGTCGATGTTGGGGGTGCCAGGCAGCAGCAGGTAGCTGCTGCTGGAGTTGACAAATGTGATGGGAACAATTTGTGGTTCGGAGCAGGAAAAAGTGACATTGCCCTGGAAAACAATAAAAATCAAACCTATAAAAGCCATTTTTTTATTCTGCAACCTGACAGCTGATATAAACCACCACCTGGAGCTGACCTTCATTTCAGGATCAGTCCACATTCAGCCACAAGATTTTAAAGGAAAAATGTGTCAGCTTTGTTCACATACGCCCGCAAGGTGGCTTCCATTCCTGGGCCAAGGTTCACGGTGCTGCCTGCAAAGGGGGCCGTCCAGGGCCTGGGAGGGTGGGGGATGGCAAGCGTCACTGTTTTTTAGAGAACCAGATATAAAATAATTACATCCATTCACTGGACAAATATGTATTGTAAGTCAGCTATGTGCCAAGCACAAGGATCATTTTTAAATAGATACACCTGAAAAACAGATGCAATGTAGAATGTGCTAAAGGAAAGATAGACACTAGCTCTTAGTGATTCTTATTTTTTTAATATATTTTATTGATTTTTTACAGAGAGGAAAGGAGAGGGATAGAGTTAGAAACATTAGTGAGAGAGAAATATCAATCAGCTGCCTCCTGCACACCCCCTACTGAGGATGTGCCTGCAGCCAAGGTACATGTCCTTGACCAAAATCGAACCTGGGACCCTTCAGCCCGCAGGCTGATGCTCTCTCCACTGAGAAACCGACTATAGGGCCCTTCACAGTTATTTGTACAAAATTAACTGCTTGTATAATTAGTTCCCTTCCATCACCTGCCACCATGCTCCTGGGGATTCTTAGAAGAAATCAGGACACAAGTGAAGTTTTCACTAGAGAAGTGATGCTTCCTGGAGGAAGTGGACAGGAGGGGCAGGGTGTGCCCTCTACCTTTTCAGCAAAATGCACATGGATGTGCAAAGCTTTAGAGGAATTATAAAATGGCCTTCCTGGGGAACTACAGGGAACTTGACATTTCTAAACATTACATGGGGCAGAGAGGGTCAGGGGCATGAGGCAGTGTTTAAAAGCCCGCTTGTGCTTGCTAATGTTATCATTCAAACTCAGAAGCAGCTGAGTGGCTTTGGCCGGATTTTTAACTCATTAAGAATGTTTTCGGAGACACGGGCAGCGGAGGGTGGAATGTTAAGTGTGCATCCACTAGAACCAGAAAGAATAGGGAGATGATTATCGTCTGCACAGGTGAGGAGAACTGGCCCACGGTTGCCTGCAATGACTAGAGTAAGCTTCTGTAGCGGGAAGTTACAGGGAAAAGGGACGTGCCCACCTGAGCCATGTGCAGGACTCAGTTCTACGAGGTGAACGAGGAGGTAGCAGGGGTGCCTTATAAATTGTGAAGAGGTGTTTCGTTATGAAAACCATTTGGAATTTTTATCTCAAACCCCATAGCCAACCGCATGCTGTTTTACATCCCTATCATTCATCAATTTTAGACACAAATTAATCCTTACGACAATGCAGCAAACTTACCCAGGTAAGTGTAACGCAAGCATGTCAAACTCGCAGCCCACAGGCCGCATGCCTCGTTTATTTGGCCCATGTTAGCCTTTAAGTTTGACATGTCTGGTGTAACGCAATACTTTCATCTAAATAGTTGTAGACGCATCAATTTCCAGGTAAATCCTTCCTCCCAAGGCCAGCAGGCCAGTGCCACTTATGCAAGAGTCAGGTATTTCCACAAGGAGGGCACCGGGCTTGGCCAGCTGCTGTGTTCAATTTCCACGAAGGTGTCAGGTAGCGGGGTTAGATACTAGTGCGCTTCTGAGTTCCAGAGCAGGTGAATGGTGCAGCGCCAAACATTTCAGAATCTGGAAACATCTCCCTGGGCTCATGATTGTCTGGTATTTCTGAAACCACGCAGCAGTCTCCACACAGCCTTCTACCAACAATCTGTTTCTAGTGGTGCACTCCGCAAGCAGGCTGCCATGAGCATATCCTTGCATTAATCATTGGCTCTGGTTGCTTAGATGTTTTCTTCTCTGGAGGTTAGGTCCCCAGAAGGTAATTAATGTGTCAAAAGGTAAAGCTCCTGCTCTCTATCAAACATGCCTGCTGTTCCGGCAGGAGGCGGAGCACTTCCAGGCAGAGCCATCCCTTCTGAACAATAACCTCGCGTGGATTTAAAGAATGCACCAACTGGGCTTCCAAAATGGAGGCAATTGCACAAAAGCCCCCTCAGCAGGGACAGGGAGCCCAGCCCAGCCTACCTGACCTGAGGTGGCGGCTTTAGCTTCCACCTCTGACTCCTCCCTCTTCTGTACTGGCTTCCACCATTTAAGAATCTACCCACTTGCTCATGACATTGCATTGTTGTTTCAATGTGGTTTTGTTTGATTTCTGGTGGGTTCCCATTCAAGAATGAAACTGTCCCCATTGCTGGCAGATTCATGGAGGCAGGCCCTCTTCCGGGAGAATCAAAATCACAAATGCCGCTCTAGAGGTCAGGAGAAGGCAGGAACCTTTCTTCCCCTTTTCCTTTCTGAGGTCAGTTTCACCTCCTCTGGTGACCAACTGGCCAGAGCAAAGCTGTATCCCAGGTTGAGGCTGTGTAGAGGGAATGGTCGGCCAGCAGTGATAGGCTGTAGGCAGAAGCCTGGGGGTGGCAGCGATGCCCTTCCTCCCTTCTCCCTGTGGGGCCAGGGACTTTTCTCTTACCCATTAGTTCTCCTGGCTCATCCAATAATGCAAATGGCATAAAGCAGACTAGCAGCAGCCCTGGCCAGGTGGCTTGGTTGGTTGGATGGTGACCCATACACCAAAAGGCTGTGGGTCTGATTCCTTGTCAGGGCACATAGCTAGGTTGTGGGTTGGATGGCAGTAGGCAACCAATCGATGTTTCTCTCTCTTTTCCTCTCTCTCTAAAAGTCAATAAAACCATATGCTTGGGTGAGGATTATAAAACACACACAAAAACATTGAAATTCTAATAGGAGAGAATCAAATGTATAATGCATGTGCATGGGGGATTCACATCAACATGAAAATTCTAAAACCAGTGATGCCAATTATGGTATAAATGTCATTTTGGACAAAGGGTAAAGGGGGAAATGGGTTTGAGACTTCAAAGCGGAAATAGGCATTTCGTAGGTAACTGAGAAAGTGGCAAACACATTCTTCCTAGACCAGTAAGAAACAGTGGGACAGAGGGAAACCAGGCGGAGAGACTGGCCTGGACACACCCTGCCTACCACACTCAATCCACATGCGCTCAAGTGAATAAGCTGAGGTGAGTATAATCTCCGCCCCCCCACCGCCCCACCCCCGCAGGTTTTTTTTGTTTGTTTTTTTATCTGAGTCCCTTTAAGAAAGAAGGGGAACGTGAACCAAACACACTCTCCCTGAGTGTCTGGAGCTTCACTTGATTTCAGCTTGAAATACCCGCCACGCCAGGTTGCCACACTCTGAGGACACTCATTTGGGATCCCACATCCTATGGGTGTAAAATCCGGGGCTTAGCTCAATCCTAGCCATTTTCCTTGTGCCTCCGGATTGGAAGCCATGGAAGTGGGGTCTTTGGACACTTGGGGTCCAGAGGAGCTGAGATTCTCCCCTTACTAGATCAGCTCCCTCACATCTGCCTGGGAGCCCCCTGCTCAGACGCGCTCCGTCCCTGTGAATGTCTAACGGGCACCAACCTCTTGTTCAACAGGCCAGGGGACTCAACATTTCATGAGGGGCATGCATGTGACACTCAAGTGTCCCTGGCTAGATTCTGGTGGCAAGGACTCCAAATACAGCCCGAGTTCCTCTCCCTGGTGACGGGAAGCTGTGTGATGACCAACAAAACCTGAAAAGGCATTGGGGCATGTACTCGGCGTTTAGATGGCTTCCCTTCAGATTGTGTCCTGTTGTCTTTGCCCTCATGCCTGAAATGTCCAAAGCTCTGTTTGTAGAGAACCCGCTACTGTGTTCTTCAACGCAGAGTCCTAGGGAGAGTAGAGGAGGAGAAGTCGAGTGGATGGGAAAAGTCTTCTGTCCAATCTGACCCTGCTCTCCCGGGGATGTGAGCAATCCAAGCTCAGCTTTCCTGGATTCACTTCTAGAGACTTGGTTTCTTGTTTGCAACCCGAGGCTGTTGAACGGGTGGTTCTAAGGTTCCCACTCACTCCCTCGTTCTTTGGGTATCTGATACTGAACACTCATATCCTTATCACCTATGTTCTCTCTGCAGTGAATAGGCATCTCTGAATCATTTCCATTGTTATGAGAACTGTAACCAACCATCTACATTTTAAAAGACCTTATTTTATGAGTTCAGAGCATAAGGAAGGAACCTAGGCCTTTCGCTACCAATATCTTTGTAACTGCAGGGAATAGAGGAAGAGATTCTATAAATAATGATATAAAAATAGTAAGTAAACAGAAGATAATCCTGTTTTATATTTTTTTAAAAACAAAGCCTAATTTGTAAAATCAGGGTACAGCAACCAATCCATTGAATATTCCTCCTTCTCTCCCCTTTTCAGAAAAAGGATAAAAAATACTTTACAATGAGAATGCCAGGTCAATGCTGAACATTCCCAGGAATTGAAGTAGCTAAGACTTTCTTGGAGATGATAAAATGAGAGACGTTATAGGTAAGACCCTTAACTGGGAGCTGGTCCATGGGCTGTGCCATGGGAATCATGAGAAAGCCATGAGTGAAGGCAGGTTCTGAGCAGCACCTTCCTTCCAAACACATCCACGACAGGTTTCCACCAAACTCAGGTTTGTCAAATGTTGACATAAATCCAATAAAACCCACCCCAGAGTGGAGGGTACTCTTCCAAAGGGAGATGTTACAGTTAGGTGGACAAGGAGCATCTCACAGAGAGAACTCCGAATCAATTAAGTCTTTGACACGGATCAGATGAGCTGTCAGAAATGGAGCTTATCTGGTACAGAGGGGCCAGTTTCAGAGATGCTGTTCTACCTATGCACACAGTGCAGGAAACACCTTCATGGTTTGAATGTGAGTGCATGATGGATGTAACAGACTGAAATGTACTAAACAGTGAGCTAATGGTCTCCATGTTTGTCAAGCATTCCTAAGCATGGATTCCATTATCACT